TAGTCTCCTTCGCAGCCGTTTTTAGGCTCGTCACGCAACGCTCCTCCCCACGTGGGGAGGAGCGTTGCGTGACGAGCCTAAAAACGGCTGCGAAGGAGACTAGGGGTCTAGGACTCTTGCATTTCATGCTTTCCCTCAGATCGAGGCGGTTTCCAATTCCGCACCAGTTCTCTTCCAGAGGCAAGCCCTGAGCTCCCAGAGATCCTGGCGAGCCTTGCACCCCGCCATTGAAACACAAACCACCTACTGATCAGAACCTAACCGCTTTAAAGTTCACCTTTGATGGAGCTCAACTTCCAGCACTTGTGGTGAAAATCGACCTCGCACAGGAGATAATCTCCTTGGGAAATGTCCACAGAAGTAAGTGCGACAAGGAGACGTGGAAAAGAAGGCTTACCTGCGAATGGATCGAGTGAAGATCTTTTAGATGGTCTGAAGGTAAAGATGTTGTAGATTGGTGTCATGGATTCTGCAGTGTTTTTAGCTAGTTGATTGTGTGGCTGTTAAACTTCCTTTACCTAACCGTTTTAGTATTATTATTTCCTCGAGTTTCTTCTTCGTATTAATGCGTGAGCTGTAAGATTCGCCAGAGCAGGCGATCGATGTTATGTTTCCCGCAATCATTTACTAAACTGTTTATCATTCGACACGAATCGTGCTTTGGTCAGCATTTTTAAGTTTTATTCGAGCATTTGTGTTTGATATATACCATCGCTTATTTTTGCGAATCTTGCGGTGTTGCTTCTCTCTAGATTCCCAGGTAATGCAAATTCACTGCAAAACATCTTGTCGATTCTCCAGCATTCTCCATAATGTTTTGCTCGATTCACTGGTCGACCGATATTTTTCGGATCACGCGAGGGATACCGTATTGCAACAAACGTGAAGTCTTATAATGCCAAACTGTCAATTCAATAAAGCGTTGTCATATTTAAGAATCGTTTTAGTGTCTCTTTAAAATATCGTTCATTCCATCCTTATGACACTGCAAGATCGTTGTAAGAAAACTGCACTTTGATCGTAATAGCGAATCGAATGATATGCAGATTGGTCATATTTTTCAATCAACCAGCGTTTTTTATTGGTTGGGCGCCTTTGTTTACTTTCCTTTCCCCAGAGGTTGCTTTTGTTTCAACCGAATCTCGTATGAAGTTTTTAATTTTTAAGAGCCAATATTTGATGTCTACATTCATCCTGAGTTGGAGCGTGGTTGATAGTAGTTTCTTGTAAACGATAGTTTCTTGTTAAACGTCGCTGCTTTTGTTATTTCGCAGGTGCTTTCATTGATGTACAAATATAGCAAAATCTAATCAGCTGCGAGGCAAAAGTGCACTAAGTCAAGTATTTAATTGCCTGCAACCTTTTTGAAGAAATTTCTAGGTGCAGGAACTGAAACAATCTTTATATAAAATACAGTCTGATTGCTTTATCAAAGCCTTTTTTTATCTAACAAACGATAAATTTGTCCATGATATACCCAGTAATGAATGCTTGAAAATAAAAATAGTGTTAGAGGATGTTTTCACCGGAAGTAATAAAAAGAACATAAATTTTTTTTTCATGAGAGGGCATGCAGTATGCAAATATTCAAACAGTTGTTTAAGGAGGATTTTTGGGTCTGAAAAGGATGGAAGTGTGGGTTGATTTCCAAAAAATATTGAAATAACTGAAACAGCTGTGAGATTTTGAAAAGCTTGACAAGGTGTAGCAAAGTATATAGCTTTTTCCATCCAAGAGCTTTTATCCTCAGTATTTTTTATAAACAGTTGCCTTTTTTCTGATTTAAGATTCAAAAATTCAAAATTATTTTCATGAAATTTTTTCTATCCTTCATGAGAAGATAAAATACTGGTCAGATAAATTAGAATTAACTAGCTGAATATCAATTCAGATGAACAGAATATTTTCCTGTCACTTTCTTCTTTTTTTTTCTGAGCTTTTTCACTCCTTTTTTTTTTTGTATTCGAGAAAGAAAAACAGAGGAAATAAGATTCAGACTAGCTAAATGACAATCATTTTGACTAAAAAAATATTAGAGCCATAAAACTAACCCTTTAACTACCGATTGTTAATTCTCCCCTCTGGCTGCCACACATCTTGTAAANAGTTAAAGGGCTTAGGAGACTTCTAAAAGCTAGCTCTTGTGAGAGTAATTTGGATATATCAACGAAGTTGAAATGGTAAATTGGCCACCGTAACGATTACAAAAGCTGACGTTTCGAGCGTTAGCCCTTCATCGGAGCGAAAGATGAGAATACTTTGACAGCAAGATAGCAATTCATGCGTACATGTTTAGCACCATTAGACTTAGAATTCAACATTTCAGGAACATGCCTCTTGATTTTGTTATTTACAGAGAGAGGAAAATAAAAACCAAGAAGATCAGGTCAGTAATTCTATTCTTCTAGAATTTTAATTATGCCAGCACAGTGCCCAAAGCCTCAACCTAATTTGCAATCACCATTTGGTGAACTAAATTTATAAAGTGTTTGCACAAGATTATGTATTCATCCTTTGAAAATGGAATAACAAAAGAAACGAGACAAGGACACTGTTTTGAATTAGACAAAAGGAAAACTGTAAACTACACTACCAGGCTTTGTAATCATTAAAGTGGCTGTCCAATTTACGTAATGGAGTACAAGTTGTACCAAATGTCTCTAGGCTTAACACCTGGTGCAACTTAGCCAACACATGACAAATAGGGTCATAACACAATATTTGTGCAAAATTAGTGTTACTCTCACTTAAACCTCCATTTAAAGACCCTACTTTTTGTGAAGGTGTTTCAGCTTTCCATAACCTGTCAACTTGTAAGATGTGTGCTTTTTGGTGCAATTTTATTTGCCAAAATTTTTTATTCTTTTTATGGCATCTAAGACAGAGATAGCTTGGAGCACAGCTATTTGCACATAACTGCCATAGGATTTAAAATTCCTTGTATGATGAATTCAAGGTTTGGTTGTAATGTTTTGTGTTGATAGGAATTACAACCCTCAGAAGATAAAAGAGAATCTTATTCAGACTCAGCTCCAACAGAACAACCAAGCATGTTAGCAAGTTTGAATCCACGGTAAGGTGCTCTCTATAAAATTATTTCTGTAGGCATGTCTTGGTAGTTTATGTATTACTTATCAAGAAGTGTTGAGGACACATGCTACAGACCAATGTTTGTCTGCAGTGACTTAAACTCTATCTGCTGCTGGAAAGACAGTGCAAATTAACTGTTTTAGCTGGAAAAAAACATTCAAGCATTAGTAACCTTTTCTGAATTCAAATTTCATAAATAATGCACTTTTAACTGGTTTCAATGTCACTATGTGGCATTGCCTAGAGGATGGGTGGGGTGGGCGCAAGGCCAGAATTCATGAAGTTTGAAAGGAATTTGATCCAAAATCTATGTTTTTAAGACAACATGATGCGTTGTTTTAAAATGTTCCTTGTTCAAGTGAAGAAGTTTTCAAAAAGTTTCTTGTAACACCTAAATCTCTAAACTATTTTCTTTGAAATTTGTTAGCTAGAAGGAAGAAACATCAATCACAATAGGTATCTAAGTTTGCAGTGGTGCTTTGTTCTTTCTGAAAGAGCAATGGACATTTTTTTTATTGAAACTCAGGTGGAGGAACTGGTGGATCAGAGGAATGTTCACTTTGGTGATGATAGGAGGTTTCTCCATTATTGTATACTTGGGTCCTTTTGCTTTAATCCTGTTGGTAAGTTTTAAAGAATTCCATTTTCACATAGCTTGTAGACATAAAGAAACATTGTGTAGTTCCAGAAAATATCCATACCTCCCCCATGGAAGGTCATTGGAAATTCCGAGAGGTTGGGGGGTTTCTTGGGAAGCTATTCTTCCAAAGGGTGACCCAATCTATTCGAAGCACATACTCACGTTACGTTGTTTTGAAAGAAAAATAATTGCTCCAAACCATTGTGATGAGGTTAACATCAAAAGATTTAATTTTTCTGTTTCCTCTTTAAGTTAGTGAGCACCTCAACCTCAAGAAGAACAAGTCCAGATGATGTGTATAATTTTGAAACTCAAAAATGGCGGATAAACAGGACTTGTCACCAGATTCCTAGTTTCGTCTGACATGTTATTGTGTTTTTGACTTCCGTTCACCCAGTGTCAGCTTCAATAACTAAAGATACTAAAATGCATTCACCAATGCCAATTGGTTATGAACTATATTCTCATTGGGAAGATGTTTTAAACAAACTAATTATGGTTGACGACATCAGAAAACAAAGATGTCACGTGGAAAAGAAGTTATGTTACATGGAAATTTCGCCATGTTTGTTTAGTTGCATTAAGGCTGTTGGCGAACTTGTCATAAATTAAGTTGTTACAATCCATTTTCAGGTTTAAAGGATGATGGAGGTAAAGTCTGTTTACGAGCCTTAGTGGCCCATTAGGTCGGTGCTTAACTCCGGTTTCTGTAGCATGAAGCGACTAGGAGTATTTCTACTCCCCCCTGGATGGGATGCCAGTCCATCGCAGGGTTACCCCCAGTATTAAATTGCTGGTACCCATTTATACACCTGGGTGAAGAGAGGCACTGTGAGAGTAAAGTGTCATGCCTAAGAACACAACACAATGTCCCTGCCGGGGCTCGAACCTGGACCACTTAATCCAGAGTTGTGTGCACTAACCAGGAGGCCACCGTGCCTCCGAAAGGATGATAGAACATACATTTTTAATTATTCTTCAGCTGTTTGGTTATGTTTGCGGCTGCTTCTCGTTTCTATTTCAAATGATTTACACTTTAGGCTTCATTTGCCGCTCCATAGACTGGTGGCCCATGGTAGGTAAAGTATGCAAAACACCAGGACTTCTTACATAATCTATTTTAAAGATTATGAAATTTGTGCTCTAGAAAAAAGAACCTAATTAAATGAATCTTTTTAAGATGTTGACTTAACAATAAAGAATAGTTCTTTTTTGACCGCTTCATTGTTGTGGGCGTGACATTGGGACATCGGGAAATTGTAAACAAGTTTCAACCACATTCAACGTGACCAAAATAACACCTTCATATAATAACAGGCCTGAACCTTTTGATTTTGTTAGTAATAAATTTATCAGAGAATCTTTTCCAGTCTCTAGGATATGTTATTTTAGAATTTACTGTTATCTCAATGAAATAAGTTCTGGTCATTCTATGCAAAGATCTTATCTTGTGCTGCTATTTAACGCTATCTGCAATTTTGTTTAGTTTGGGTTCAAGCAAGTTAATCATCATTCTCTTAAAAAAGTGATTTGTAATAATATTTCCAGAGGGGTATTTCAAAATAACAGAAATTCTAGGGGGGAGGGGGGTCCTAAACAGAAAACCCTCCATGGGGTGGGGTATGGATATTTTCTGGAACTACACATTTAAGAGATAGGGTGGATATCTGCAATGCGCTTTTTTTTGCATTTTCTCTGGAATTATTGGAAAAGGCATCATGTGGATATGGTTTGCAGTTCATAGAATCACATCAGGAGATTCTGTGGTGTAGTGGTTGGCACATTGCACTCCAGGTTGTTGGTGTTGGAAGGGTGGATAATGGTATTCACTTGGTAATTCTCTACTTATCAAATAATGCAGTACATCCTGTTAACTCTTACTGGCTTTGTTGGATTATGCTGTCTGCCTTTGGACAAGGTCAGACCCTTGGATCATGGTCACTGTTGTGTGTTCTAGGGTTGTAGTTGCAAATCCACAATTTATTCACAAACTCCAACAGTCGAGATCAGGTCACATCCGCATAGATTTTTTACACTTCTTGACCTATGCGCGATTTGCTTAATGAAAAATATACAAGCAATAAGTAAACCTGGGAATTTCAAACACTGAATTGTCCTTTTTTTCCCAAAGAACTCACATTATGTAGAAGCTTTTGGAAATCCACAGTTGAGCTAATGAAAACTACAACAAACACGGCAACTAATTTTCTTCATGTTCAGTCTAAGACTGCTATGCCTTATGGGAGGCACAGGCTCTCAAAACTAGAACAAGAAATCTTTTTAACAAATGAAAATATTCAATAAAAGATAACAACATGGGTGAGATGCTTTAAAATTCCCCTAAGGTGTAGGGCTTTTAACAGGTTGTAACAAAGTGCTGGGGGCGGTAACATGCCACTGTTTTGTATCCCCTGTTAATAAAAGTGAGGTGAGTTCTGGCAGTTAGGAGCAAGATACTGGAAATCGCTGAGAATTGTCCCAAAAATTCAAACCAGTTTGAATTAGTGGACTAGTTGCAGAGACCAAATTTTAGTCCCTGTGACTAGATTTTGTGACAAAAATGGCTGGTTCAGAGGATGAGACTTTGACCCCGTGACTTGTTGAGGGACTAGTCGAAGGGACTAGTCCCCTCATGTGTGCTGACCTTTAAGAAAGTCATTGTAAAAAGTATTAAATTTTATTGATTAATTAAAAGCAAATTTTACTAAACAGTGCATAGAGAAGCCTTGACGTGTCAGCCCCTTTAACTGTTCAACTGCTCTTTTCATTGTACAGATCCAGTGTATTCAAATCAAGTGTTACCATGAGATCATCTGTATTGGACACAAGAAATATGAAAAATACAATCTGCCATGGTTTAGATCCCTAAGTTGGTAGGAACATTCACAGATTATTCACAGTGTACAGAATTGTGTTGTAGGAATTAGTATACAGTGACAGATTAAATCTGACTACTGGGCAGATTCTCTTAATATCCTTTTCAGATGGAACTTTTCATGAACTCAGTTATTTTTGACTTTTTTTTTTTTTTGTACAGGTATTTTCTTGGATGTGCAAACTTTTTCTTTTATGGCGAGAGTATAACAGATTATTTTAATGGTAATCCAAACCCACAAGTGGATGATGCATCAGAGGTCAGTGTTATAACGTACTGTTACTTATTTTCAGGTTTATTTTAGCACGTAACATTATTTTATGTTAACCCTAGTGAATCATCACAGTGCTTTCAATAAGATTTGAAATAGGTGGCTACCTCGGTACAGCACCCGCCGAAGAGCAACTTGAGTGCGACTTGAGCGTGGTGACCGTGACTTGAGCACGGTGAAATATACCTGGCAAACTCACAACAAAATACCCACAGGAGCTCCGGTGGGTACTGGGTCTTATTGAAAGCACTGCATCAACTATTGTCTTTTTTTTCTTGAATTCTCTTTTATTTGTTTTTTAATATTTTTTTTTTTGCAGGAAGTTGTGAAAACATACATAACCTATCACAGGTTGATTTCATATTCACTTTACTTAATTGGTAAGTACAGCTGACGAAATAATCCACCATACATGAGTGAACAAAAGGAAATTCTTTATAACTTTTATAAGGTTGATATTGATAGAAATCCTGTCAAAAGGCAAAGTAAATCAGTTGCACTATACTGTCTGGGTGAGATACCACTTACTAATGGATTGTGAGGTCCATGCTTTAAGTTACAGACCACATTTTCCCACTTGGATTTCAATCTGCCATTAATCTAAGGGGGAAAAACAAGGCTGGGCTCTACACTAACTTTTCAACTTACTAGCCAAGTGGCTAGTGACAACGTAGATGTTAGGACAATTTCAGTTTGTTTACTAGCCAAACAGGCCAATGGAAATAAAAAACCACTAGCCAAAACTGAATTTCTACTAGTCTGTGGCTAGTTGGCTATTGTTAGTGTTGAGCCCTGTGAGGCTCTATAACTTGCAGTAAATAACAAAATAATGAGGCCACAAAGATATTTATTACATCTTTAGATTCAAATATAGAAGATTTCAGTTCAAGCAAATTTTCGATTTTAGTGGGCCATACAATGAAATACAGTCTATGAAATTGACCGATCCAGCAGAGAGACAAGATAAATTGTCACAGACTTAATGCCTCTATTTCTTAGCCATTGTCAAGATTACAAATGTACTTCAAAAACCTTTCAATTGTGCGTAAAATGATAATATGTATTCACTCGTACATCAAGTGTCGGTTAAATGATGTTACAATTATTCTTAATAGATTCCTAAATATACCAAAAAAAATGATTAATCAAGTTTAAATTTGTTTCCTTGCAGGTTTTATTTTATTTGTGTTGAATTTAAAAAAAGAACACTACAAAGTGCAATTTTCACTGGTAATTGTATTTTTAATTATTTTTCTGTGACTTCTGTGATATATTATTTCCATCCAAATTTTCAAGATGAAACATCAAGCAGGCTTTTCTGTGTGTGTGTTTTGAAAGAGAGAGAATTTAAAAACTAGCACACACTTTTGGTCATGATTCTTGTGTCAATTTGTTTATTTTTTGGTCAGTTTTCATTTAGGTTTCAAGAGATAGTTAAAACAAGCAATACATGCAAACATTGTTGAGTATTTGAGAATCATTTGAAATAAGATTGAATTGTTTTAGTGAAACAGAAACAGAAAAAGCCAATGGTTTTTTCTATCAATGAAGGCAGAACATCTTTGTATATAATCAATGTCTGATTTAAAAATTCATAGATTTTTTAATGTAAATGGTGAATTTTCCCTTTGCCTTTAGTTTGGCTGGACCCATGTGACATTGTTGATTGTTGTCACCCAATCACACCTCATCATGCAGACCTTGTTTGAGGGACTTATTTGGTGAGTAACTTGTTGGGGTGAGGTAGGTTGCTTTCAACCTTTTTACTCCTAGAATTGATGAAGATGTAACTTAGAACTCCTTGTAACAACCATACATTGCCCAGCTAACAGGTGATGAACATACTCAAACTTATCAGTTTGAAGTTTCAGAACTTAGGATGGATAAGGTTGATTAATAATTTTCTCTCTCCTTTCTTTGCAGGTTCTTTTTACCAGTCAGTATGGTAATTTGCAACGATATCTTTGCATATGTTTTTGGTAAGTTGCTTGTTGTGTTTAAAATCCTTTGCTATCCTTTTCCTTCTGTTTGAACTTCCTTTAGGAGTACCTTGCCATGTTTCGTTGTTTCATGAAGTCAAGTTTACACCTTTGAATTTTGATTAAGCTTAAAGTTTGAGACACTGAAGAAAAGAATCATACTGACAATATAGGTCACTGAAAGAAGCTGGATGGTAGTTTGACGAACTTCAAAAAAAAAAGCAGGAAACATAGCTCGTGTTGTGGATTATAAAGGTGTTTTACAACTAACATTTTTTGAAAGTGTAGGGGCATCTTTAGGGTTTGTGGTGCTGCTCCTAAAATAATGGTAACATTGCCTCTGTTTGTGTGTTTCATTATGATTAGGATTCTTTTTTGGCCGGACACCTCTTATCAAGGTATGTTGTTTTTCTCTGCCCTCTGTTTAATACTACTGGTATTATACTATGTATAGTACAGTGTATATTTGTACCAACTATATGAAGTGAATATTGATCCTAGGAGCCCATACGCTTGTGTAGGTCTTCTGACAGGCTTTTGAACACAGTTGGGGCAGTACTTTTATCACCAAAGTAAATGTAGGCTCTTGAAAGCTGGCTGCAAGGCCTTCTCAGCTAGAAAAAATGATTTCTAAGCAGAAAGCTGTTAAATGAGGTGCAATTGTCTTGATGGATATATGTTCTCCTTATGTCTATGCACAGTACTAAAATTCACTGAGTACATACTCAGTCATACAATTTCAATTGATTTATCCGTGTTCAACTTTTAACTCCACTTTTCCCCTCAGCTGTCACCCAAGAAAACATGGGAAGGTTTCATTGGTGGAGGGGTGACAACAGTGATATATGGATGGCTTGTAAGTTATTTCATGTTATGCTAGTCTAAGTACTATGCATAACAAAATTATGACAGATTAATTGACACTCTGCCATTAAGATTGCAATATTCTGGAACAGCATACCATTTTCATTACTGATAACAGTACTGTACATTCCCCCTCTGCCCCTGTACAATGTTGCATTTAATGGTTTTTGTGAATGAATATGAATTAGTGGTGGATGATGTGTATTTTATTTTCTCCTTAGATCTCTTATTTCATGTGTCAGTATCAGTATTTCATCTGCCCAGTGGTGGTAAGTTAAGAAATTGAAGATCTATGATTTTTAACTTGATGACAACTGTGTTGGTAAACTTGGAGAAACAAGTTTGAAAACTATCGTTGTTTCCAGAATTGGTTAATGAAATGTGAACAAGTTAACAATTGAGCAATTGTATTTCCTTGGAAATTTACATCTTCTGTATTCTGTGAAGTGTTTTTTAGCACTAAATGTTTTGTACTTTATGTGGCTCCAGCAAGAAGTTCTTGAAAATAGGTGTTTTTTTTATCCCTAACCCTTAGTTAGGACTGACTGCTTTGACCAATCAATTTTAAAGTTAACTGTCTTTTGTAAGACAGGTTTTTCAATTGTTTTGCTTAGAATAATGAAAACAGTTCATGTATAGCACACTAGCGAATAGTGCTTTTTGCGTGACTGGCCAGCTGGGAACTAAATGACAAGTACTATTCACATCTGAGCAGCTGATGAGACAAACTTCTGCAGTTAGCTTAATTTCTTACCATTTTTTGTTATTGTAAAAAGTAAAACCTTGATTTAGACACGATATTAAGTATTGAAGCTGTGCAGCTTGTGGGGTTGTGTATAAAATAAAAATATACATAAGCAATAATAATTGTAATAAAGTATAAAATAAGACTTGTGTATAAACATAAGATAGTGTTTATATTAATACTTGATAGTATCATCTAACTAATAAAATTATAGACCTGGCTTATTGAAAGAAATAAACTAATTTTTGGTATGTTTGTATATACTAAATCAATTGTTCACCTCAGAGGGGAGAAAGTGGTTGTTGCAACTTGGTAAATATCCACCACTATTCACTTTTACATTCAGTGAATAATCATTGACTATTTATAAGGAACTGACTGCAGTAGCAGCATATAGTTCTATCAATGGTTGCAATCACCTCAATCCTATGTATAAATGAAGCAGCCAACCAGCCTGGTCAGGTTGATGGGAGGTGTCCTTCAAGATATAAAAAAAAGGGTTTTTGAGCCCTACATGTAAATCTCGACAGTTGTCCAAAGTCCTCTTATTTGCAAATAAGTGAGCTTTGCCTTTTTTCAGTTCAGCGGCTCAATAACAGACTTCAAGACAACCTGTCAGCCTTCATCACTTTACAAGTTGACTACCTTTACCATTCCTGCTCCAGTCAAATATCTTCTTGGATTTGTAAGTTTCAGTTTTTGATAATCTAGGAAACAGATCTTTCTCACTTTCGCTGTTCAATGAAAGGCTTTTCTCCTCTGCAATCTCCAAAGTGAAGTCAGCAAAAGAGGCTATTGAAGGAGAAGGGCATGTTTGTTCCTGTAACCATTTCAGTTTTATCGTTGCCATTGAAAACTGTATTTGCATGAAAGTTACCACTTATCGGAACATGTGATGTGTTTAGACTAAAAAATGTATCTATATGAAAGTTACCACTTTTCAGTACATGTGACATGTGTTTAGAATCCACAGAGTAACTTGAAGGTTCACAAGTTGTCTGGAAAAATTTATTTTTAAATGCTGCCATTTTAGACAGAACTCGCTAACCTGAGTTGGACATGGACTCACTTTGGAATTACTGCATTCTGTCCTCCACTCCACCTATCATATACTCAGCTTAATGTGATGGTTATATTTCAAATACCACCCATTGGTTTCAGGGTGGTTTGACACAGGATGAGGTGTGGCTTTATCCAATGCAGTTCCACTCCATTGTTTTGTCACTCTTCAGTTCATTGATTGCACCATTTGGTGGTTTCTTTGCCAGTGGATTCAAAAGGGCTTTTAAAGTCAAGGTAAACAGAAAATCTGCCTTCCTCTGTATTGATAATGCCTGTATTCTAATGCAAATGTGCATTTAGTTACATGTGATATGGGGTGCATTATGTCAAAACCATGTTAGGCTGCCACCCGTCATGTCAAGGGATTGACTCTACTTTGAATTGCTAGAATCTTTGATTCTGTGAACCACCAGAAAGTACCAAGAAAGCACTCTCTTGGTGCTGAGTTGTACTTCAGGTATCACACCTTGAAATAAACCCTCTGTAATTCAAGGTGGTGTTTGTGAATTTTAGCTGGCTCCCAGTGATCATTATATTTTACATGGCAGGATTACTTGTACACTGGTTATACCAGTCATCTGTCCGAGAGACAGCTAGGGGGATTAATTTCGGAATCAAGGTTAAAATTGGTAGTATGTATATGCTGTTTAATTTTCAGTCACACTCACCTTAAAAGAAACATCTGGAGTGATTTGAACTAAGGCATGTGGTGTGTATTTGTTGTTTCCCTTTTTGTTTTGTTTCAATTTTGTTTTCTTCCTTCAGGACTTTGGTGATACCATTCCTGGACATGGAGGTTTAGTGGATCGCTTTGACTGTCAGTTCCTCATGGCAACTTTTGTTTATGTTTACCATTCCACTTTCATAAGGTAAGGTGCAGGGATGTAGCTAATTAAGAGATTTTAACAAGTGGAAATCTAGTAATGATAAGTGGGTACATGAGCCGAAGGCCCACCCTAGTGTGCCTTGGCACGCTATACCTAGGGGGGTCTGGGGGCATGCCCCCCCCCCCCCCCAGGAAATTTTCAAAATCATACTCTCGGAGATTTATTTTCCTTGATTTTGGGAGCAAAATCAAGGGCATTCATCATTTCCCATACATGAAGTACAAATACAGCTGGCCATTGAAATCAACAGATCAAACTAATGAGGTTTGGAACTTTATTTCTCCAGAGTTGAGGTGATGAAAGGTATAGTTATGTTGGAATGGACAACCACAAAATGATATATAACTCTGGTGGCTAAATGGTGACTTGTGATAGTGGAAGCACCGGAGGAGAACATTACATGAACTAATTGAACAGTTTTTTTTACAAAAATAAACTCCACATTTCAGAGAAATTGTTCGAGCAACTGTTTGATTTTGTGTTTACAGGGCACCCCAACCACACAAGGTATTACAGCAAGTTTTGTCCCTGAAGGCAGAACACCAACTCAACATCTACAAAGAGCTCAAGTCCAGCTTGCTTAGAAGAGGTATATTATAGTGGATTCAGCAGTGTAACCACAACCCACCCATATTTATCTTGTTAATCACTTATTAATAGTGTTAACTTAATTACCAGGGTTATGATAATTGTGCATGTCAATTATTATAAGCTATGGGTATCCTTGTACAGTAGTTATATCACTAAGTGTATTTTATGGCTTTTGGTTTTCATAATTATGTTTTCAATGTAAGTGCAAGCAAGTTGAAGTCTGTTACGTAAAATGAAAGGAAAAAAAAAGTTGAGGGATGCCTACCTTTCTGTAAAGTTTCAACATGTTGAGTCCCCTGATGTGTATTGGGAAACACAAGATTATCTGTATCAGAATTCAGAAAGCTTTCATCAGGTCCTCTTTGATAATGCAGATGCCCTGAGATAAAAGTCTAATGTCACTGGCTCAATAAAGTTAACCAAAAAAAACAACAACCAACTAAAAGAGAGTTTTTCAGTGGACTCTCTCCTGCTCCCATAAGTAAAAATCAAATTTATTTTGTTATAAATTTGTTAATTTTTGTCACAATAATATATACAGTAACCTAGTTTTTACTCTATCTGTACATTTCTAATTTTGTTTTTACTTTCTACTTTTGTGTTATCCTCTGATTTTACATATGTTCTGTCTAACTATGGATTCTATAGTTATCTGTATGAAGAGAACAGTGTCACCAACTTAAATATATAGTTCTTCATATCTATATTTGATTTTGATAAGAAATGCATGGTGATATGAAGAACAGCACCTTTTCTTTTCTTTTAAAGTGGCTATGAGATAGATAAATATCTTAGAAGTTGTAATGACCAAAGAGATTAATGAAGGCTGACGCTGTGAAGTTGTGACGTGGATTGTAAACAAAGTTGACATGTCACAGCAAAATGATGTAGTTCCCGTGAAAAAAAGGAATATTGGGTGTAAGTTATCAAGCAGCTGATTTGTACAATACATTTTAATAACCATGTAAAATGATGTTCATTGGTGTAATATAAAAACCTGATGTGCAATATTTTATGAATATCTGTTGTATTAATGACATAGTATTAAAGGTGATTTATGCACATAGATCTGTAATACAATGTTATGGTGATTTTATCATAGTATGGTTTGAAATGGTGTTGTTCATTGCCGATGTGTTCTAAAAGCTGTCACTGCTAAACGATCCTCACATGCAAAACTACAACGGCTAGTTAAGAAATCATAGTGTGGATGTTTCCTTGAGTAAACTGGAATCTTCTTTGCCTAGAATTGAAAGAAGGAAAAAAAAATTGTCTTGTACATCAGAATTTGTTCAAGGGTTATTGTAAAATAGGTTATGGTTTGTCATCATGGGAAATAACACTTTCAAAAGAGAATATGATTGTTTGGGTCACAAGGTGGTCTCTGCAGATGTGGATCACATCATTTTGACTGCACACTGTTAGTCTGCTTTACATTTTCACTGCACACTGTTAGTCTGCTTTAGGTGAGTGTTCAAAGTTTTTTCTTAGGTTATTTGCAAAGACTTGTCTAGAAATTCAGTCCAACCATTTGCAATAGAGATTTACAAAGATCTTTCATTAACATGAAGCTCCTTGTTTCTTTGCCTCCTGTCAACCACTGGTTGCAAGAGTCATCCATTTTCTTATTTTCAAAATTCATGGAACTCCCTAAACCATTATTGTCTAGGTTAGGAGTAAAGAAGGTTCATACTCTTCTGAGATCATTAACTTAATGACATCCTATGACTTTTTCCAAAAAATTAGTTCCTAATTAATGTGAAAATGAACATCTGATAGAGGCATTCTTAACTTTTGTCGCCCAAAATATCAGTCCCAGTCACTTTCAAGACTTCACATGTCCATGCTAATATTGACTTTCAAGGCGTGGCAAATGATGTGGTGGAATTCCACATTCCATGGTTTTCATTACGTACACAAGGCAATTTATACCTGCTAAGCTATCTTCATCCTCTAACCTAATTTTTTTCATTACAATATTAAGAAAACGATCGCCAGCTAAAGAAGCTATTGTTTGTTGAACACATTGTCCTTGCTAGCACCTTACAAAATGTAAAGTGAACAAAAGGGAGAATATTCACAGATGTTGGAGTGTAGGGCAAGAAACCTCTTGCTCCTGAGAAAGACCAGCAGCTAATTTCACCTTTCAGTATCACCCCTGAATAAAACGCAAAGGTCATATGAATAAAGGGAGTGATTTCAAGAACCTCTTGAGGGTCAATTCTCCTTCTCAGTGCCATTGTACAGAACAGTATGGAGGCAGTATGGAGAGGGTGCATACTGATTTTAGTGTGTTAAGAGTTAGCAAGATCCCACCCAGCAAATGGCATTTGATGCAGCTTAGGGCAAACTATTTCCTTTCCCCTCAAACACTGAACATTATTTTCCATACTGTCCAAGCACCTCAACTAGATCAGTTCATCTATCAAATGTAGATAAAAGAACAACCTTTTAAGGAGGTAACTGAGTTTAGTATCAACAGTCACTGTAAGTCCATTCACTACACTGTAAGTGAAGACATAAAGCTTCTTCCTCTGAAACGTTTTAAGAAAAACATTAAGCTAATTCTTCTTGATAAATGTTAATTTTTTCTGGCCTTCCGTTTGTTTTTTACTCTGATATTCCTTGACCTTGTTTTGTATAATGATTGTGTGTGTGTGTGATATCTGACCCAAATAATTACATTACATAAATCACCAAAGTATAGCTGCCCTTTTTTTCTAGCTCCTATGGTTTTCTAGCTCTTAACAGCTTCCAAGGCCAAGAACAAAAGTAAGCAAACATTATTTTTGGGCTAAATAATAGGTTTATTTTTATTTTACATGTACCACTATACTCAGTTTGAAATACCCTTAAAGGTATTCAACAACAAACAATGACAAATGGTGAATTTCTCTCAGACTGAGGCCCACAATGCAAGCTCCCTTCATGAGCAGTCTCTATGTACACTGTAGCACTTGTAAAATAATTTCCAACACAAAAAAGATTAAGATTCCCTTTGTTTGGGCAGCATTTTTGTGAACCGACTTTACTCATCAGTAGCTGCTGTATCTTCTTCATCAATCTTTGGAGCAAGGTAGTATCTGCAAGCACAGATGACAATGGTTAAAGAGGAACGAAATGCAGAAAGGTGACTACAACATGCAACAGTAACCACACTTGATTCTTTACTCTCCCTAGATCATTTTTTTATCCTATTTCATTATCATCGGCTTTTAAGCAAGTGGGAGAAGACCTAAACCTTTTGATAAAAAAAAAAAAAAAAAAAAAAGGAACTTCCAAAAGAAATAATGAAATAGAGTAGTTTTGACAAGATTAACAGCAAAATTATAAAAAAAGGAATGTCTCACTTTGCCACTCCATGAGGTGATTTAGTTGCTAAATTATTTTAACAATTCATCCTTTGAAGACTTACTTGAGGTTGCCTAATTCTCCTACTTTGTAGTCAAGGACCAAGGGGACATCCTCTTTCAGTGACATTTTTACTGTGCTGGATAATGGAGTAGCCTGAACAAGAAGAATAAAAAACAGTCAAGGACAAAGGTGGTAGCAAAGAAAGTGTTAATGTTCCAAGGGGAATAAATTAATCAGTCCTGGGTTTACACGCTGAGTCTGGCAAGATGTTGACAGACATTTGGTTGACATTTGATCACCCATCATTTTGTTCTTCCAATAGTTTTAGCTTAGCAGGGGGAGCTTCCCCATTTTGATAAAGAGAAAATCCTTTCTTACCTTTGTGAAAAAATTCAAATATCTGAGAGCAAAAGTAAGTTCCACAGGTTCATTGAGCTGAATTGAAACCTAGAACAACAAAAGTATAATGTTGACTTCATAAAAGCTAAAGTTAAGTGTAGTTTTAACAATTAAGTTACTTGTACTGAGTGAGCTGGCATGAACACTTGTATAATGTAAGACTGCCTCTGTACCAAATTAAGTACATCACCCAATATTGGGTGATGTTTCCCCCAAAAAGCAACAGAATGATGTGATAACAAACCTGTTCTTCTTCAACACTTGAATTTTGTTTGAGTGTAATTTTTCCTTCACCAAGGTCCCCTTTGGCTGAGAACCTCACTCCCTCTTTGGTACAGTTTATTGTCACTGAATCGCCAATCTGTGTCAGGTCTCTACATATTCTTTGAAATTCAGATGATGGCATTGTCACCACAGCATCATATTCTTCCTCCTAAACAAAAAGTTAACAAACATCACATGCCATATAACAAATTTTCTCAAACTCAAAGGTCTCAATGACAGTAGATGCAAGTGTCGTAAATTGTCCATTTACATAGACACAAGATGCCAACTTTCCCATTCCATTTAGTGTCCAATAATAAGCATGATGCCTTCACAATCCTGTTAGAGCTAAAATGCAGATACTGTTATCTGAACAGGTTCAATGATTTTCTCAAATAGTTTTGATTAAGAATTATGGACTTTGAGAAAGTCCTTCCAACATCCAAAAGTTAAGGTGCTAAAATATTCCTCTTTGAAAGTAACAAACCTCTTGTTGCAGTTTGCTGCATTCACTAAGCATTATGTATAACTATAGATAAGATCTACAGCAAGATAGAAAGAGAGGGGACAAATAAATTATTTCCTGACTTTATATCTATCTGTACAGTGAAAACTGTGACCTCAGACATAAAATGCTGCCCAATCCACCTATTCAAGACCTTCTGCAGTTTTCACTCCGACACAAATCAAAGGTGACTTACTGGTATTCCTAAATGCTCACTGTCGATATCCATAAGTCTCATTTTATATTCACATTGCCGGTCACCATCTAAAAGAAACAAACACAAAGTAAGAAAAGGATCTATTAAAATGCAGTTTGCTGATGGTTTCATAGGATCTCACTTGGTATTGTACTGTTGAGAAATATTCCTTGTCAGTCACAGTCATCTGCAAAACTTAAGCCTTCAGATGTCATGTAAATGTCCTTTATTTCTACCCTCTTAAATACCATCAGCTGCGATGACAACTTAACCAATCATTGAGTGTCCTTCTTTCGTAAGGTCGGGGGGGGGGGGTTACATATATTTTACCTCTGAGAAGTCATTTTAAAAATTTTGGTCGTCAAAGAACAGATTTGGGTAAAAATTGAGCTCTGAGCATTGAAACCTTTGACATGTCACTTACTTGGGCTTTCAAACTGAAATGTCACCACATCACCTCCCTCTTCAGCTCTGATTGTAATACTGTCATCGTTACTAGCACACTTTAGTATTTTGGACAGATTAGCAGTCTCCATTCCCAGAATGACATTTCTATCACATCGAAATGGCTCAAATCCATCGGCTTCTAATGATATTGAAACTAAACTGACGTGACTACTGTCCATGGCTTGAACACTGATGCCGCTACTTGAGCATTCCCAGTTTGCATTTGGAACCAAATCTTTAATGGCTTCAAGAACCTTTTTGAATACATTTCCTTGGGTGAGTTTTGCTTCAAACATGTTGCAGACAGATGATGACAGAGGGGAATATGTAGAAGAATAATCAAAGCCTAAAATAAAAGAATGGATAATTAGACAAACCATCAGAAAAAATCTTGTTTCCCTCATCTTGAAACTTACCCTGCAAATTCAGTCATTATCATTACACCCTTCAAGTAATGACCAACATGAGTTTGACATAGGTAAATTTATAAATCTGACCTTATGATCACACCATGCTTGTGTAGCAGAAACAAAATATCCATTTCTTTTCAAAAATAGGCTTAAAAAAGGTAAACATTATTGTAGCCAAACATAGTAGTTAGAAACTAAACACTAGAGAGGTTAGTTTGTCAAACCTCTATGGATGCTCGCAAGCCGCATGTATTTTTCAAGTACAGGTAACATTCCAAAAATTGTGATGAGCCCAGGCAGATATATTTCTACACATCAAGTCTTAAACGATTTCACTTTACACACAAATTTTCCATGCTACATGCAAGTTATTGGTATCAAGCTGTACCGAGTGTGTTTATTATTCTCTTGGTCCAAATCTAGCAAATTCTAAGCTTATTTTGGTTGAGGAATACACAAAATAAGATCCTCTGCAATAAAAAATAAATCTTAAGTCACTACAACGATAATTATTCAAGATATTTCTGCAATCAAATGAAAGTTTTATGCTTTTTAACCATCGGGGCTTCGACCAACTAAAATGGCGGGAAAGTTAACCATCATTCCCGCGCTCGATCCGCAGTAAACATTTTCAATGTGATAGCGAAAGCTTGGAAAGGAGGCCTAAAAACGATGTTAATTCTAATCAAATGAAAGCATGCCTTAGAAATCTATTGGGTGAATGTTTTATGAAAATTTCGCATACAAGCGCGAGGAAGACGTAAACTGCATGCTTTACGACACAATGTGGTTTGAACTAAATTCCGAACTAAACCTATCATCTCCGAGTTATTTTGTTTTCTCTCTCCTCCAAATCTGCACATGCTATAAATATTTGAATAATCGCGAACGAAACCAAAAATTGAGCGACGATTTCTCAGTTCGAAACCAACATGGCTGTTAGGCAATCATCGCAAACCTTGGCGTCGGTGTGCAGATCAAGCATACTTAAATCAGCCTAATGCAATCGTAATCACAGAGAATGTCGCACCGGCTTTTCATGGGTTATGACTCGCATTAATGTTAAGATTTCTTTATCGGAGAACAAAAATTAGTACATAACAAGTACCTTACCTGAAGACTCGACGATCGAATACGAAATATAAATTACGCGCCAATGTCTACAACGAACAAAAGTGCGGGAAATTCAATTGTCGGAAAATGATTGGTTCACGATAGCACGTGATTTATCACGGGATCTTTTTCGCGGGAAGCACTTCTACAAAGAACATTGGGAAACGGGGCAAGTTTGAACGTGACCGAAGAAAAGTAGTACTGCAGTTTCAGTTTTTACTGAATCTACGTGATATTGATAGGTTAGACGCCACATATCAGCTCCATCGATCCAACTGAGAACGCGAGGGAATTCCGAAGCCATTAATAACGAGAAGACATAACTTCCAACTGGCAACCACTGCTATCTCAATGATGCCAGTGTTTTCCACGGGGATCGCAGGATTAGGGTCCCATGCCATGATGTCTCTTATTTATTCTTTGGAAGCCCCACATACCATGACCCACAAGTATCACGAGTGTTCCAGAGCTTTTGTCGTAATCTTCAATTTTTTGCAGTGACAAGTTAACTCTTTCTGTGCTTCATAAATAAGGTAATTTTGACAATTACAAAATAAATGATGTTCCCTGGATCATGTGTTTAACTAAATCTAGAGAAAAAAAAATCGGTTTTTTTTTAGAACATTTAAAGACTTTTAGACGATAATGTTTGGAAAAATAAAGCCGATGGGAATCTTGCATTTTACGCAAATTAAGAGAATGTTTAGAAATAACTTTGAGCAAGAAAAAATTTCGAGATTTTAAGAAATGAAAAGATATATATGGACATTTTTGGAGAATTTCCGTATAGATTTTTAAACTATTTTTCGGAATTTTTGTACCTGGGCCATTTGCCACTTACACTAGCCCAGAATCGACCTGGAAGTTTCACAATGATAATCACGTGGGCCACCGCTAAGTTTTCTCCCGAACCTCATTTTTTTTTCACCTGCACCATCCTGTTTTGCGGAATTTTCCACTGTGTTGGGAATAACTCCGCGCTCGCTGGTTCAAAAAACACTCAGGACTGTATGTCGTTTTCTTCACTTTATTGGAGTCCTACTTTCGTTCATCACAACCGTTCTAATCATTCTTTTTAACGTTACAAAGTTCCCTAGTTTTATTGCTATCACACGTGAACGCCCTAGATACGTACATCCGACCGCAAACCTAAACTGTCAAGCATTCATTAGTTTCTTCGTGCTCCAAGACTTGTGCACGACACTTATTTTTTTTAGCGTTGACTGTTTTAACTTGTTTCGACATTAAAATGACCGAATATAATCCGATTACAGTCTTTAATTACTACTAGTGATTCCTAACAGGAAGCAAAAGACCACTGCTGCCATTCGCTACGGATATGGTTGGACTGAACACGCAATACACGTTTCTGCACGCAAGCGTACTAAAATTACAAGAAAACGTGCTTGAACCTTATCTAAGAAAAACTGTAGGAAATGATACTTCAGCTTGTCACGACATCCTGATTCATGTGTGCCCCATTTGCCAACTGAACTGTAAGTTATCAAAGTGCTCTGAATTAACTGCCATTAAAAGGCGCAAAGTAAGCTAAATAACATTGTTGAAGTACACCTCGTCTTTTATTGCAGAAATATTTAGATAACAATAGGTTTCATACTTCTAAAATTTAAAATTAGCCTCTTAGAACTTGACTGAAAATTTAAAACTAGACGCAAATCTACGTGAACACAAGTGCACCAAATGGACAAATCTAGCTCGGCATAGTCTTGGCGTGATTTTGCACATCTATCTCACAAGTAAATGTGAAAACCAATTGTAACACCTTTGAAAAGCACATGAACAATGTTCTTTATTAAACACTGTTCTTACATGCTTGTCAGTTAGTTCTTGCAGCCTACATGTGGAAAACTTACACCAACACTTGTACTTTAGGGCACTGAAGGGGATTTGGGTTGAACCAACAACAACAACAACAACTACAACAACAACAACAACAACAACTACAACAACAACAACAACAACAACCGAACCTGAATTATAAACTCAGGCCTCTTGGGAAGTGCCCAGGCAGAAACTAAATGAGGAAGAACAAGACAGAGGTCATAGTTATCATTTTAAAATGTAGAAAAAACGGCAATCACGACAATAAGTCTGCAGTTCAGACATCAAAAGTTCTGTTCAGAACAGTTTTTTATGCTTTTCAAATAAAAATTGACAGTGTTGTTTTAGACAAATATTCTATAATTCAAACTTGCAAACTTCCTTAAAACCTCTTGACCGACTTTTGTCAGAGATTCTTTTCTACATTCAGGATTAACAATATTCCTAAATGCCATATTCCTTTCTTTGCTCTAACTTGCAAGCTCCTTTTTTCTGTGTCCAGGACTGGCCTTTTACTTCATTGTGGCCAGTTTTTCTTCCCACAGCCAAATGCGCAGGGAAACTGTTGTCATCTCTGAAGTGTTGCACTTGGTTTGCATTTTTCCAAAGCAAGTAAGAGATCATCCATTTCAATTGGCCGAATATGTGGTTGGCCATTTTCATCTTGTATGCTGTCCCTGTGGTAAAAAAACAAAAAACAAAAACAACAACAGAAGGATCATAGGTTATTTTTTCTTTTAAATTTAAGTATAAACTAAAGTAAATCTGAAAACCCATTCGATTTCTGTCCCTCATTCTAAAGATGGAAAATAAAACCATCTGTTTGTAATTCTAATTGCCTTTGTGCATCAGAAAATTTTAACACAGGCAAAGTTGGTGCTGTTAATTTTATTTTTTCATTTTTTATGCTGAAATTTTCCAGATGTTAAAAAAATTGAACATAAAAAATAACAGTAACAACAATGTATAAACAAAACACAAGACTTACTGCATTTGAGGGTTGTTCTTTTTTTTCACATAATCTCTCACACAAGACATAGCAGCAACTCGGCCTGAAAGATTAGTGAATTTTTAACTCATTCATTAATAATCAATGAATAGAGGACTATTTCAATATGAGTTTTAATAACCTACATGTAATCTAAACACAAGAGGGGATGTGGTGGAAAAGCAAGAAACAGTATGCAAACTGCAAGGTCTCAGACTTGAATTATCTTTGAGAAATTTCCTTTACCCTGGGTGGGTTAGTGAGGCTAGGTAAATACAGAAAAACCCCACCATTCCCTTTGTAAAATGTCATGGAAATTGCATAAATCTAAAAGATCATAACCGTGTTCACACACTCACACTCATCCTAACTCACCCAGTGATCAAAAAGAGAGTATACTACTTCTGTCTGTTATTCTTACAAATTAAGATAGTGAGATGCAAGTTAACCTGTGATGCTTTGCCCTCAGTCATGTTTGTGATGTACCATTCTCCCTCAACCCAGGTAAAATTACATCTACTAAATAAATTTCCAGTCTTTAAGGCATTTCCCCCTCAGTCTTGCAGACTAGGGCCATTTTTACCTCTCATGAATATTGCAAACCAATCAATGTCTTCACTAAATAAATGCTGATTGTAGAACTTACATATTTCTTTCAGTCCACTTCCAGAGTATCCTTCAGTTAGTGTGGCTAATTTGTCAAGATCCACATCATCATTAAGCTGAAAGATCAACATTCTCAGCTGCTCAAGGAATGTTGTAAAAGGAAGTTGTCATTTATCCAATTAGATGGGAATAAAAAGTTCACTATTGTACACATAGTGTAAGGAAATTACCATTTAAATTGCTCTTCAAATCGTGATGATGGCAGCTTACCTAGCTGACCCCTGATTACACCTTGTCACGAAAAAGGGCAGCTAATTAGTGAGCATATAAAACGACCTCTTGTTGCAACTATTAGATCACCCCTGATGAAGGCACTCAACAAAAGTGTCAAAACATGATCAAGGCACTTGACAGGAGTGTCAAAACGTTGGGTCAACGAATTGTAATTCCCCGGTTACATTCATTAAATCCTCAAACCAGAGTTACATCAAACCATGTCTGATTATCCACGTGGTTTCTTTGCCAACTTTAATATGCAAAATTCCCATAACTCAGCTTTTCCTTTCATATCCTTCTCTCCAGCAATAGCTTCACTAAAACTTAAAGTAAAGGAAGGGAAAAGTGATAGAAGATAATGATCTAAAGGTGATGATCTCATCTACATGTATGTCCAATCCAACTGTTCACAAGATATGAGTTAAACATGTCATTCAGATAAGATTACCTTTTCTTTCTTGAGAATAATTTTTAATATATCTTTCCTCTGTTCTGCATCCTGATAAGAGAACAAGTGTGATAAGATTGACAAATCTACAGTGGTTTAGCATGGTCTGCACTCTTCTGCAACAAATTTATTTTGATCACAGTGATGACAAGTATCATTGTCAGTAAAAGCACAGACCATGCTAAACCACTGTACGTTTGTTTTCCACCATAATATTGATGTCAAATAAAATGATTCTTTCAGTGTATGAAATGTTGCATGACACAAGTGTGAGCAGCCTTGTCTGCACCCTTATCAACAACAGCAAATAGGCCTATCAGATTGCAACATAACTGCCAATTGTGGTACAAAAAAGTTTCTAATTAAAGGAAACTGTTCAAATTGTGTTCATGGAAGACAGATTTGTCCCTAAAATGAATTTTATCATGAAAATTTGAACAGCCACAGATGACCTTTTAAAACAAAATGAAATATATGGAAAACTCAAGCTTGATCCTACTAACTGGCAATCCAACATGAAAAGAACATGGCATTCTTCTCAAAATGGCTTTGTCAACATCTTGAGGTCTGTTTGTTGCACCCATCACAACAACTTGACAAGTTGAATCAGTCATCAGTCCTGTAAAACAGCCAAATCGACCAAAATCAAACCTCCTCATACATAAAAAATTAACCACAACAGGGGTGAAATGTTTTCACAAATATTTAACCACATGCTTCAATATGTGGTCTCCATAACCTGATAAACAGCAGCAGCAGGCAGTCAAAACAATATGGTCAACATGCACAATAAATATGTTAACTTTATACCTTAAGCATGCTCTATCATCAAAGTACATGTAGAGATATCAACATGACATTAATCAAATTATACATCATACTGGTAATTTAAAATTAATGTCACATCAAATTAATTTTACTTTAGTTTGATTTGTATTTCCTTTGTTACAGATTTGTAAACATAATCAACAAACAAAATACTAAGCAAACTGGGATAAACTAATTCTAACCTGAAATTGATTTTCAGCTTCATTAACCACAACTGTTACTCTTTTAGACAAATCTTTTAACCAAAAATATAATTTAATACTGCAACAGTTTAAAAAAATATGATTTAGAAGAAGAAACTCAAAAGGAATTTGTTATGAGCAAGACAAAGTATCTAGAACAGAGAAGTACTTCTAATAAGATTGGGAATAACATATATAGTAAATTCTTACCATCCCATAAGCTCATAAACTGTGCCTTCATCATTGCTGTGGCCTCATGATCACTCTTATCCCGCATCCTAAGAAAAGAGTCTGTTAAAAAAAATCAAATTATTGTTCAATAAGGTAAGAAGCAACTGTCACAATCAATTTTCTGCACTCCAAGAAGAAAGACACTATTCCAAGCTGGTACTGTTTGACTCACCAAAGGGGATTATTTATTGATTCAACACTAATATTTCAGAACTGATATCAAAATTAATATAATAATAGGGAGGACAGAAAAGAGAATTACTTGTAAGATCTTGGGATTGGAAAGGGTTAATTAATCAAGAGAATCAAAAGTTCACTTTCATTAGTGATACAAAGATGAAATGGACCAAGAGAGAGACTTATGACAGCAATATACTCTTCCATAGCTTTTTTACAGTTAATATATAAATCACTTAATTCTTACCTATCTCATCAATAAATATGATACAAGGTTGTAGTTTGACAGCCTGCAAATAAACCCAAGTAACACATTCATCAAAACATTTTCCTTATAATGATGAGATGACCATAAAAACAGTGTTCTCTCTTTCAGGCCGTGGCCAGTCAAATTTGCTGCCTGTAGTAATTCCAGCTATTTACTGCCTAAAATCACTTGTCAGCAGTTGCTTGTATTCCTTTCAATGGGGATATATGTTGTGGTTCAAATTTAATCTTTGGTTTGAATTTTTTTTTAAACCAGTTTAAACTTTTCAAACTGGTTTGAAAACTTTTAATCAAGAAGAAAAAAATTTAATCACAACTCCTACAAGTTACTGTCACCACTTTAGGGGCCCTCTTTGTGTTAGCTAGCAATTAGGCTCAAGTTTTATCAGGGGATAAAATCTTGTCTTCTTTTGCAAGGTAAATTTCACCTTGGTCACCAAGTTAAGATGGCACTTTTCACAGAGAATTGAACAGGAGGGGACTCTTCTCAAAAACTAAGCTTGTTCCATTGACTGGTCTTATTTGAAAAACACCTAATTACCTTACCAATGAAAAGACAGCAGCAGCAAGTTTCTGTGATTCTCCATACCATTTGTCAGTCAATGAGGACACTTGAAGGTTGATAAATCGACAGCCTAAATTAAACAAAATAATTTTTTAAATGATAATAATTTAAATTAACGGATTAACACTAACATACACTACTTACAATACAGGTCTCGTTGTAATACTCTTACAGTACAGTATTTCACTGACAATAAAATATTAAATAAATGTCCTACAATATGATCAAAAAAGGTTATTAATAAGTTCTTGCTGCCTAAAAAAGATTATTTACAGCTAACATAAAGTTACTGTTTTGGAATTGATTGTTTACAAAAGTCAGATTATTTTTTTGGGAGGGTGGGTGAGTATGCTATATACAGTGTTGTGTCTCTGAGGAGAGAGGAGTACTACTCACTAAAACTTGAGAAAAATTTCCAAGGTTATATTTAATGAATGGCTTAGCTACCCAAGCTAACCTAATTTCAAATGATAAAAAATAATTTTGTTAACATACTTCATCTGCATCAACATGTACATTATTCTGTAATCAAGGTTATTCAGCATATATTACAGTGGAACCTTGATTTAACAAAGTGCCAAAGGGCTAGGGAAATTGGTTTACTATATCGAGGTTCTCTGGCATACATTTTACTGTAACTTTGGCCGGGCTGAAACTGAAGTTTCGTTCGTTATACTGAGGACTTTGTTATATACTTTTTTTAGAGGTTCACTAAATCAAGGTTCCACTGTACTTGGAAATAAAGTCTAGTGTTGTACCTGCTTCTTTTGCTGTTGCCTTGGCTATCATTGTCTTTCCACACCCTGGAGGACCATGTAATAAAACACCTACAAAAGAAAGAGGAAAGCATCCTTCAGTTAAAGCTGTTTGAGATTCCCCTAAATTCTTTTAATCTCAGTAGTGATTAAAATGTAACTTCTCCCAAGAATATCCATATATCATCCTACAGACAGGTAATGAGAAGACACAAAAGCATCAAGTAGAAGTTGTTATCTAGATCTAACACCAAATTCTTGTGAATTATTGAAAAGGATATGTATAGCAGTTTGATGGGAGAATTAATCATCAGATCTTTGGAGCTTAAAGGTTAAATGTAACTTTGATAGAACAGTACCTTGAAAAGTACATGAACATCATTGAATGTATTCTACAAGTGCTGGGAGACCAATAATTTTCATTTGACACTATACATTCTAACTCACTGTGATGATGATGATGATGATGATGATGATGACTTATTTTAACTCAGCTCGATTTTACAAGGTATATAGGTTAAATTTACATAGCAAGTAAACACAGTTCAGCAAAGGAAAAAAGAGAAAAAGATCTGGCAATAAAGTAGGTAATTATAAGTCAATACATTTAAGGGAAAACAAAGCTAAGAATGAATTTTTTTTTTATAATAAAAAAAGAAACAAAAAAAGTATTACTTTATGCACTAACATAGATAATTAAAAAGAGTAACAATTAAGTATAGAGTTCTTCAGGGCTTTACGAAATATTCTAAGAGAATTTGAATTAGTTATACTTATAGGTAATGAATTCCAAAGGTGAGGGCGATAATCTTTTCAGTACCTTTAGGAGCACTAAGAAGAGTAGAATTTTTGAAAATATCCTTTTGTTGTATTGGGAAAATCACTGACTCCTGTATGAAGATAAAAAATTATGAACTGAGCATGTGTTTTTTATATGCAGGTGAAAGGATCAAACAAACCTTTTTGAGTCTAAACAAGAAATTCTTATTACTATTGTAAGAAAGTAGTGAAAGCAATGAAACCAAAAAGAAGCAGTTCCCATGGAGATGATAGCTTAAATCAACTGACAATACATCATTGATTAGAATGATATCAAAGTTGCTTATAAATAAACTTTTCACTTCTCCAGTTACCAAACAAACACTTCCCACAAGATAAATTGCATGTTTTCAGTTAGAAAGCTGTTGACAATAAAGAAAAATATCAACTAGAGAATATTGTTTAATTCCACTGTGACTCCTTAGACTAAATGTTAGAAAATCATAGCAAACAGAGGAAAGAAATCATAATTCAAATGATGGAAATAAAAGGGTGAGACCAATAAGATAACATGCACAGCAATGGTAATATACTGAAAAGGGTCATCCCATCTCTAACACCAAATTATTTTTCTTACCTTGATTTCCTCTATAGTTTCTCTAAGACCTCCTATGTCCTTCCATGTGATTGGGAGAATTAAAGGATCCACAATATCTGCTGCTACTGTGAGCTCATATTCACTTAACTATAACACAGAGGAAACACAATAACACTGTTACCACATCACCTCTGAGAGGTTGTGAAACTAAAGAGATTTTTGTCACAATAGCAAATTTATCACTAATTTTAAGACTCTGACTCACCTCAACTTAACCTGACACTGATTTATGAACCATTATTCAAAACTGCTGCTAATAATTCTAAAAGATGCATTATTAATTTAACATTGTAGAATAGTTCACTTTCTGAAAAAAATCTACAAAATGTATAGGACAGATAGTGTCAGACAAAAAGGGGGACAAACCTGTTAAAAGACATTGACATTTTGTGGCAAAAAATTATAGGTGAAAGTTTGACATGTACAAGGTTGATATCAATTTTAATATTTAAGAATTAGCATAATATGATTGTGTAATATATTTCATTGGTTTATTTTACCTTCACTCCTTCAATGCCAATTTTCTTTAAGAGCTTTTGAGCCTAAAAAAAAATTATTTTTATGTCAGGAAAAATTTTACAAATGTTGTATTTTTGACTTGGAAAGGGTCTCTCCACCCATAAAGTCACATCAATGGGAGTTACATTCTAATACAGACTGTACTCCTTGCTGATGCAAAACTGTCTCTATGTAGGGGAAGAATAATTGTTATCATTTCTTACGCGCAGATATCACATAAAAAGGAAGAAAAACATTGGATCATGTTATCCATTTTAATCTTCCAAAAGCATCATTTCAGGCCAAAACAAGACACTATTGTCATTTAAAGAAAATGTTCTTTTGATGATGATAAAAATAGGTAACTCTTGGAGATGGCAACTGATGAGAGCTAATAAGTATACATGGGCTCGAGTGAGGAAGGTAGAGGGATGTCACACCAGTAGGAGAATTGTATGTGGCATAATGTGTAGACAATCTCATTCCTGGGAAAATGATCCTTAAATGATGGCTGCTGGTAAATGAAGCAAGGGGCCCAATGAAAAAAGGTGGCAGAACTCAATTTAAATTCCCTAACCAAGCCACCCAAGGCCGTGTAGTCTATAAGAGATGAGTCATGTGAGTGTGAATTCTGCAGCGGGCTGAAATAGTGCTTTATGATGATCCTTTTGGTGCACACCGCAAATTGCAAGCCTGAGCTCATAAGGACTGCCCTTACAGTAAACGTATTTGTCAATTCCTTGTCTAAACTTAACTGATCGCTGTTTGCCATGGGGCTAGAAATAAACCCACGTGCATGAAATCGCGTGAACTTGGTCCCCAACATGCACATATTTACGATCGGCATGACAGTTTGCCAGCAATAAATGCGAGAGAAATTTCAATTCAAACGCTATAGTTGTAGAGTGCGTGACATGTTTTGTCGAGTTCATGAACCCAAAAGGGTGTCGGGTAAAAGAGAGAAAACGCATGTGCTCGAAGTTTTGGAAATAAATATAACCTTGTGTTTCATTAATCTGGTTGATTTGAGTGTGTAACATAGTCACAAAGTTTGTTCGAATTTCAAACAAAAAAATCTCTTCTATCGGGTTCCTTGACTAAACCTCTTAAACATCGATAATTTACCGGATTTGATTTACCGGCATTACTATAAAAGAATTACCTGCTTTTGCGCAGCCAGGCGGTTTTTTTTCGTGGGGTCCATGGCGTCCATTAACCATTTTACGCCGTAATACGTTACAGCACCAAGAATAAATGCTTGTAGTATTGTGGCCACGTACCTTGCTCGATTATCAGGCATAATAAATTAAAAGTGAAAGTAAAAACGTACTACTTCCTGTGAATCTCCTGTGAATCCCTGTCAATATTTTCGTAGACTCTTTCACCTGTTATTTGCAGCGGATTTCCTTCAAAGATTATGCGCTCGATGTTTTCTTCAGTGCAAGGCATCATGGTCTTGTTCTCTTCGATCTCTCAGTGAAAAACACAGGTTTGTGTTAGGGAATATGAGTTACAATCTTTTCAATCTCGCTCGAAACTTTGAATCCTCTGTTTCCGATATGTAATAAAACGATATCCTTATTATTCATCAACAACACTATGTTGTTATTTTTCTGTTAATGTTCATAGTATGGCTCCAAGAAAGGGTCAAAAACAACCAGGTGGAGAACAGAACATCTCACTAGGTCCTCAGGTACATGTAGTGTTTCTGCAGACCTTGAATTTTGCTTTGGATAATTTCTTTTGAGCCGTTTCTGTGGTCGTGACTTTTTTCAACGTTGAATTTCAGGCGAGTGAAGGTGAAGATGTCTTCGCTGTTGCACACATCTTCGCTTCGTTCAACGATACTTTCGTCCACATCACCGATTTGTCTGGAAAGTGAGTCCAGTTTCCTCCGGTCTACCAACATACTGTAACCGTCTTCAGCTCACTCAGTATTGCTGTTGTTTTTGTTTTGTTTTGTTTTTTTCTTTTTTTGAGATATTGGAGGAACCTCATTTTATCACTAGTGAAATATTTTGACCGAATTACTTCATTTTACACAACCAATCCAAGAGGCAGGCAGTTATGATGTCTTTGAAATATGCTGATCTCCAGTTATAAGAAAAAGGCACGAAGCTTACTTTTATAGTAGAGCCAACAGGGTAATATTGTCTGCAAGCTACAATCAAACTATATTCAAGTACGAGGCTCTCAAAATCAAAGCAGTGTGCTTTTAGCTTGGGAATAGTTGAAAGTCAGAAGTATTATTCAAATGTTATTTTCATGACTGAGCAAACAGGCTTAGAGGAGGTTTTTTCTTTTTTTCACAGTTGGTGCTTCAGAATGAATCACGATATACCCCCCTTACATTTCAAAGTTTGCAAATTGTAGATGTTGATGATATTGTTTGTTGTTAGGGAAACAGTCGTCAGAGTGACAGGAGGAATGAAAGTCAAGGCTGATCGGGATGAGGTAAGTCGTTTATTGTATTATTGTCTTTTGAAACTGGAGGTAAAGTCTTACACTTTGGGAGAGTTGACCTCAGTGAGTTGAATGCAAGCGATGATGTTTTTAATATACGCTGATGTTCACTGATAAGAAACATACTCTGAGCTTGCTTCTTTCGTGGTACATTTTGTTAGATGTTCCATACCAGTGAGTATCCTGAACAATCTGTGACTTAAACCACTAGAACAATGTTGCAGTGGTACAGCTGTTCACAATCTGATAAATCAATGCTTTTGTGTTGAAGTTGTAATTTTTCAAAGATTTATCGCCTCATGATCAATGTCATTATTACATTTCTTTTTTCAATGAATGGTTACCCTTTTCAGTGGAGCAATCTCATTGAAACGGTGACATGAACATGCTTAGGTATTGTTCCTTACGGTAACTATCTGCTCAGAGTAACTTGTCTGTCAAAATTTAGGACTTCTACACCTGCCATTTTAGTAACCAAACAGTTTTTTTTTTTTAAGTTGCTTTAATAATAATAATTTGTATAGGTAATCACATGATTTTGAGTGCAATTTGCAATAAATAAGCACAAATAAATTTTTTCAAAGACTAACAAAATTGCATGAGCTGGTAGGGCGAGTGCAGTTGGTGGTCTTAAAAAAAATTTTCAAGTGTTTATTTACTTCAAATTGCACGAGAAAATCATGTGATTATCTGATAATAATATACATGAAAAAATACCAGGTAGCTTCTCATAACTACGCAGAAGAAAAGCGTGTGCATCATGTGCAAAAATAATTTATTCAAACCCTGCAAGTGACATTGACATTGACCAATCAGAATGTCTGGTTTGTTTCTTTCTTTGCACTGAATTAACCCTCTTCTGCACTGAATTAACTCTCTTCTGCACTGAATCAACTGAAAACTGCATTCATATTAACACATTGACACCTGAACGGCCCGAACTTCGCGATCGCCTCGCGCGAGAATGCTTTCCCCCTACCTCCCCTACTAAGGGGAGTTTTGTCCCCAAACTTCCTCTATAGTTTGGAGATCAATAAGCCAATCAGAATCCGTTGTTTGTGCATATATTTTTTTGACTTTAGGGGGTACTAGAGGGGCATTACTCTAAGCGTCTTCACTAAATGATCAAATTTGAAAATATGGCGTCCACGCGGCNGGAAAATGGCGCATTGGAAAGGTTGAAGCGCTCATCACGGGATCTGATGGTCGCGTCAGAGGAGCCGTTGTTCGAGTTAAAACTAAGACAGGAAGACTCACTAAACTCAGACGTCCAGTACAACGCCTTTACCCCTTAGAAGTCCGTTGCAGAAATGAAGAACCGGAAACAATTGTATCACCCAGGAGAGCAGAGCCTAACCTTGCTGTCAGTAGTGCGAGACCTGAACAACACCCTGAACTTAGACGTGACCGCCCGAGAAGGGTAGCCGCGATAGGAGCAGACCGAAGACGGAAGGCGTGGATAGAGAATTTGAACTAAGGAACTCAGGGAACTTTGAACTCTTGTTGTTGTTAGCATTTCTTTCAAACGACTTAAGGGAATTTGTTGACCAGCAAATCTAGGAAGTCTGTTCATTCGTTATCCTGGTCAACAGGGGGGAGTGACGCGGATGTCGTTACACACGTCGTGACGTCGCGTGACGATTATGTTCGCAATGTATTGTGGTTAGAAGAAGGAATGAGCACGCCTTCAAGATGGCGTGGTAATGTTGTTGTTATTAAATGTTTTGTTTGGAAATGAGCCTTTATTCTGTCTCGAATGATTGAGCGAACCGCGAACTACGAGAACAACAACAGATTGTTAAAATTCGAATATTCTACAGGTGATAAATTAGTGGAGTCGAATGGAAGAGTTGGCTAGTTTCTCTTCCACGGTGGGCAATCGATGAAAACGACAGTTTAGAATCATAAATCGATGAATGTCGATAAAGCAAATCATCTCTGAGCTGTCACCCCTATTTTTGGGTGGATCTTGATACTTGGCATGTATCATCTGTTTCAGGCTTCTCCATATGCTGCTATGTTGGCTGCTCAAGATGTGGCTGTCAGGTGCAAAGAGATTGGTATTACTGCTCTGCATATTAAGCTAAGGGCAACTGGAGGCAACAGGTTTGTGTTTTTCCCAGCTGTCATTTTGCAGTATAGCATCGGCAGTTTTTATATTTGCTTTGGGAGGTAATCACTTTTCGTTAGACCTCTTAACAATCCCCACTGTGACAAGAAAGTATTTCCACAGAAAGTCTGAAACCAAAAAAGGTTTTTAACCATGGTATATCCATGACTCTCTGTTCTATTTCAGAACTAAGACTCCTGGCCCTGGGGCTCAGTCAGCTCTGCGAGCTCTTGCTCGTTCAGGAATGAAGATTGGACGTATTGGTAAGACACAGCACTTTTATTGCTTTTCTCCTTAATCTCCTTACCGCTTCATTAAAAGGATTTGTCTTTTTATGTCTGATCCATGATTTGTGGCACCAGACACTTTGGCCTAAACAAGATGGCCCCATTTGTGTGCAGATATGACCCAGTTGTCTATTTGACTAGTGGATTAATTTACAGCTGCAAGTGGGAACCCACCTGAGAAATATTTTTTAAGTATTATTACCACAAACTGCTACATTCCCAAGTGCTTTCAGGTGGGCCCTTTTGCAAGCCTTACTTTAAAAAGCTCAGGCTATAAATTTAAATGTGTATGCAACTCTCCCGCCAAAAAAATGTGTGTTGGAGTGGAGGTCCAAAGTCGGGCTTTCATAAAACATTAAACCTATCAGAGTTTATTCAGGTATTCTGTCCTTTACTATCTTTCTTCTTTGATGGCTCCTTCTGCCCTGTTTTTTTTTGTTTTGTTTTTTTTTACGTTATTCTAATGCAAAGGCTCCTGTTGGGGAAAACATAAGTGATGAGTTTTATTTAATTATAATTTATTTTTTTTGGGGGGGGGGGTTACAGAGGATGTTACTCCAATACCTTCAGACAGCACAAGGAGAAAGGGTGGTCGCCGTGGACGACGTCTGTAAATTTGCGTTTGTGAGAAGCAATAAAAAATAACCATAGACACAAGTGCTTCGTGTCCATGTTGAAACAATTTCCGGTTGTTAGAGATGTTCATCAGGACGTAAAGACAGCAGAGAGACAATAACTCTCAAAAAAGAAACAACAACTTTGAGTTTAAATTT